TGTTTTGGACGGGCCCTCTCCCCGCACCAGAGGTTACCAGTGGGATGGGGCTGGGAGTCAGAAAGGCCATCGGCCTTGCTGGACTCTTTTTGTGTTTGTGACGGCGTCATCGCCAGAACCCGGGGTGATGCTCCTGTGAGTAAGGGGGTCCTGGCAGTCGGTGCCAGTTCTCTGAAGTCCACGCAGATTCGTCGGTACAGATCGTTATTTGTCAACTGAGTAACAGCTCAGCACGTGTCCCAGCCCTGGGGCTTTGCTTGCGCTAAACTCAAGCGTTCTGGCAACTTTTGCTTTGTGCCACATCACACAGTAACAAAATAAAGCCTGTGGGGGCTTCACAACAACCGTTGTGTGGACACACATCCTCCCGACAGCTTCATGCCCTAATACCTAGATACCACGTGTGGCCTGGCCTGACATCCCCAAGCAGGACCTCTTAAGCTAACTCTGCTCAGTCTCCCACCCGCCCTGAATCCGCCCAGCGTTATCACCTACAATCACAGCAGTGAAGTAGTAATATCTGTCAAAAAGCTCAGCTTTACATCAAAAAAACTTGTCCCAAGTGTGGATGCTCAGGGACTGTCCCAGCAGAAAACTGCAAAGGACGTCCCAACTTCTAACTGCTGAGCAGAGGTCAGCCCTTCGCTGCCAAACAAGTTCTGCTGACAGACAGATCACGTATGGGCAAAAGGGATCAGAGGAGAGATTCTCTGAAGAGAAAAACAATTTATTCAACAATAAGTAAAAAAACCTCTTAGGCTCAGTTTAAAAGAAAGGCAGGGGGACATTGCTGCTTTCATCCCGCAGCCGTCACTTCACACCCTCAAGCTTGACCGTCCAGCCAGACTGAGGAGGGAGAGGGGATGGGAGCATGTCGGGCAAAGTTACGAGCAGTCCTTTACCTGGGAGCTTCTCCCACTTCAGAGTCCCTGCAAAACCCAGCATGGACACCTGCGGAGGAGGGCAGGGGAAACGCTCAGTTGCAGCTCACACAGGCACTTCCCATTTGAACATCCCAGTAGACCCAAAACCCGTTTGCAGTCCCCGTACAGCATTTCCCCCAAGTTCAAAGCAGTCCAGCACCTTTCCACCCATCACCCACAGAGCACAAAAGGTAACACATGGGATGTTTTGAGGCCAAACATTTCACCGTAGTTTGTTGTTTGTTGTTTTTTTTCCAGTGGGAAGGCTTTACCTCTGTTTGTTTAGGGCAAAGGGCGCTCCAGCATTTGCGTCACTTACAATTACATTTACAAATCCATGTACCCGATTTGAATTCAAGATGCAATACCAGTGATTGCTCCTGTGTGTGAGGCTTGGTATTTACTTCACTTCCCTGCGTCAACAGGATCAAAAAACTCTCGGGGAGAAGTGCCTCTGCCTATTCCATGGCAGACTGTCAGCCTGTCCTGGCGAGTCCTATCCAATGTTTGGTGTTAACAGGGAGCTAAAGCCTGGGATGCTGCAAGGACCTGGAGGGAGGCCAGAGCTCCCCAGAACAAGAAGTATAGGACAACAACTTCCACACTCTCCCCAGTTTCCAAATGGAGTCAGGTTGGACCTCGCCAGCACACATGTGCCAAGGATGGGCTCTTGTTACTTTTTTTTCTGAGTTCCTTACTTGCATGCCTGGGGATGGACTGGGCGAGGACAACTCCAAAACGCTGTCCTGAGGCCAGATCAGAAAGATGGCATAGACAACAGGTCCTTTAGACGTGTACCTAGGAGAGCAAGAGTTCAGCAAGGTGAAGAGCCCATGAGGGAGAGAACCAGAAGCGAGCGTGACCTTTCCAGACAGCTCAAGAACACCGGCTTGCCTGCTGTCACCGCGCAGGGGTCACCTACTTTCCCCTCATCCCAAAATCTGTCACTTTGGACCCACCACTTGGCCAGTCAGCACTGGCTGATGAAACCCAAACAAAGTCTGTGCGTGCTTCCTAAAAGCAAATGTCATTTGCTGATCTGTCCTTGCATCATGAGCAGCTCGTGGTCAACGGAACAGACACGCTGCCTTATCCTGATCACTGCGTGATTTTTCTAGACTGAACACACTTGGACACGCTTGAGGAAAAACCAACCTCCACCTTGTAGGACTCACTCTCAACTCACTGTGTCCTTCTCAGTCAGTTCAAATCTAAGAGTTGGGTAACAGTACCATTATATAACAGCTTAAACCCAAATATTGCTATGTTAACAAACTGAATGTGTTTAGATGAACTGCATCTGTACAGTTCTAACCAGCTAGAACCTCTACTTAAACAGTCCTGACAGCAGCAGCGGGGAAACTTTTTTAAAGAAAGGCTTGTTTTTTTTCCAAATCAAGCAAGACAGATAAAGTCCTGATTTTTATTCTCCTTTTTCAAGCATGATATTCCTTAGATAACACCCTGGGGAAGTAACTGAGCACTCCAATTGTAGGATATTACCTAAACGCTACCTGCACCTGATGGCAACACTTCAGAATGTACCAAATTGAAGAACAAATAAGAAAGGGACGTCGGCTCTTTAAGTCCCAGTCCAGACGGTACTGAGCCATGGAGCCCTTACCAGACCGTGGTTGTGCTGTTCTCCATCTGCACTCTCCACGGATTCGATTCATAAATTGCCTCCCCGTTAGTGCTGAGCCACCTCCCAAGGGCCAGAAGTCTTTCTTGGAAGATGGGAACAATCACCCCTTCTTTTGTAGGTCCCACATTGAGAAGGTAGTTGCCTCCAAAACTCACAGTCTGCACCAGCTCCTGTGACAGATAAACCAAGGTAAAAAACTGCATTATCTTTTCTCCTGACAATAAAGAAACCCGAGGAGGGCTTTATCCTCATCAACTGCTCCTTTAACTCCTTCCTTTAACTGATTGTATGAAACACACAACAACTCTTTCTGCAAGATGAAGGAAACCTCTAGTTCTCAGTAACTCCCCCACACCCCTTATTTTGACTTCAGATTTCTTACCTCAATGATACTCGCTTCATCCATTAGCTCAGCAATGGTCATGTTGCTTCGATAGCCCCAGGAGAGCCTGTCAATGGAGGAGCACATCTCCCACTTGTGAGCTGGCAGGGTCCCTGGCTTGTATTTGTCAGCACAGTTGTAGTAGCCCCCATGATGGCAAGAGCAGTTATTACACCAACGATCATTAACAACAACAGTGTCCTGAAAGATGAAACTCAGCTCAGAAGGGAGAACACTTTTGTCTTGGACTTTTCAGCTTGCAAGGTAGCAAGTTTCAGCTTCCCAAGTCAGGGAAGGCATCTAAGTTAGGAAGTAAGCACATAAGCCCCACTTCTTACTTTTTGTGACAGAACACAGCACATTTGGCATCTGCCAAGGGGTTTCTGGTTCGATCATGTTCATATCTCACTGCTGCCAGACCTTCCATACCCACAAAGTGCTAGCGGCCACGAGGGAGCTGAAAGCGATACCTTGACGGGACTATCGTTATAAAGCCAGGCAAGGAAAGAGGTAGAATTCCAGTATGAGTCCGGAGCTTCCCAGTCTCCATCCGACCAAATCAAATCTGGTTTATATCTAACAGAGAGATGAATGTTATTTCAAAATGGCTTATTTTTCTACTACCACAAAGGAAGCACCGTGTTTCTTGTGTCTGGAGTCTAGCTTCACTTCCTCTTCCTATTGCCTGACATTACCAGGAGGTTTATGCTACAACTTTCTGCTTCAGGCAAAGCTTTAAGTGAGGCTCTTGCAGCAACAAAGAAGGATGTGTTGATAATTGCTCAAGAGAAGATCTAATTCTTCCAAGAAATGGAAGTATGCATTTCAAAGGCAATTGTGAGGCACACTCTTGACCTGGAACAGCAACCATTCAGTTGTGTCCAAGCCTCATATTTTTGTCAACAAGGGGGAGAGGGAAGGACGTAAATTCACAGTGAAATCCCTCTTCTGCTCTAATAAATACTAAATACTGCTCCACTTTCAAAGCCACCCTCCACAAAGGCATTATTAAAGTGAATTATTCCTGCACAAAAAATTTGCTCCTACCTTATTCTACAAATTAGACTGTCCACAGGGCAAATGTGAACACCTTTTCTAATTACCACAGATCGTTACCAATAAGCAAACAGATTTTCCTTGGCAAAAATTGACAGTCGTCACCTCTCTTCTCTGCATCCACTCTGCATCTTTCTGTACCGTGCGGAAACTGTGAAATGGTCTCAATTACTAACCGGCTGCAGCTCTTACTTTAAGACAAGATCATAAAGTTCTGGCATGGTCTTCTTTAAAACGAAGTTCTGGGTCTTGAAGCCATTTTCTTTGTCATCCAGATAGAGCGGATTAAACCACTCTAACAGAGAGTGATACAGTCCGTAGCGTATGTTGCTGAAGGACAGAAAACACAGAGGAAAGAGTCAGGCTGGCAGCAAGGATCAAGAACCACTGGCAGATTAGATTACTGGTATTATTATTTCACAGAAGATTTAATTACTTTGCAAGCACTACTTTATTTTCATATTAAACTGATTGTTTTCCGCTGTTTGACGAGACCAGCCAGGAGTCCAATGCACACAGATGCTCGGAACGGCAGAGTTTGGCAGCGCCATACCTCTCCCTGAGGGCTTGTCCCAGCTCTCCTACCAGATCTCGGCGGGGCCCCGTATCCAGAGAATTCCAGTTCCAGGACACGGGCGAGCCCCAGTTGGTGAAGCCTTCGTGATGCTTTGTGGTCAGTACCACGTACCTGAGGGAGAAAGAAGTATTTAATCAGGATGACAAAGGAACTACGTGAGATATTCCCCAGCCTCCCTGGAAAACTCAAGTCATTAAAAAAGCAAGGGACTGAATAACCACCCGGTGAGGAGCCTTCTTTCATTGCCCTTTGAATTTAGAAGCAACTACACGAATAAAAGGAGTTTTTAACGGATTTTAATGCTGGAGAATAATGAACAGTTGAGATTTAGGAAGCAGCACGACCCATCATCTTCTCAGCACCCCGGGCATG